TGCCACACACACAAGAACCACAGAGCCAAACCCGTTGGCTATTGGACTTGACCCCGTTCAGGGTGACAGACTAGCACTGCTCCGGTGGGTTCCGATGCCAATGCTTTCAAGAGCAGAAGGCCTCTTCTTTCTCCCACAGAGCGGCTGATGGTTTCGAACTGCTGACCTTGAGGTGAACAGCCCAGCGTGTAACCCGTACCACCACCGGGGTCCTGAAAAGACGCACTAGCAGGAGGGTAAATAGCCAAGCCGTCTGGAGAGGAATGTGGAGGCATTTAGCAAAAAGATTCAAAACGTGTGCATGCCTCCTCGGATCTGGACGTCCCAGGTGGCAGTGAGAGTGTCTGCGCTGAGAGAAAGGCACTTCCGGTACCCATAACTGGGACTCTGAAGAGGGTCTGGGGGTGTTTGTCAAAGGAGTCAGTCTTCCCTATAATGTTTTCATTTTCAATAAGAAGAATGTATTCCAGGAAGTTGAAATGAATGGGTTTAGCATTAAAGGTCGTAAACAAAGACCTGCTAGGGGAAGCCTGGGATGTTCAGGACTTGCCGTCTTTGAGGTCACTGAAGAGTTTTCACAGGAAGACCCAGGGCCATCTGTGGCCTGGTGAATTGGGTAACAAGACCCCACCTGCCATCCCCATCTGGCTGAGTGACCTTGGGTGGATCCGCCCCCTCTTTATGTCCTTGTCTGCCCAATGGGAATCCATCTGATTTCTGCCTTGCCCTGGGGAGGTCGGAGGATGAGGGTGGAAGGAGGGGCACATGAATGCTCTGGATTATTCTCTGCCTCCAGGGAGGAGAGGGTGTGGAGGTTTCTGCTCCACCTGCTAAGCCCACTGGGTGCAAAGGAAATGAGAGAGAGGAACTGGGGACCACCCAGGCGAGTAAACAGCCTGTCTGCAGTCCGGGCCTCACACATCGGCCAGTAACTGGGAGGTGTGGCCTGGACAGGTCACCAGTCAAAGACTGGCGTGGGGCTGGGGGACAAACACCCTCCCCGCCCCCAGGCTTCCTGGAAAATCAGACAGGAAGCTCGCTTCTCTCCACTCTCTCTCAGCCTGTCATCTCTCCAAACCGCCAGCATCATTCTATACCCACAGCACTAGAGCATTCAGCCACCCTTGCCTTCTTTAGCTCATCCTACTGTCACAGGATGTTGGATGAGGGTTGGACCGCTAACCAAAAAGTCAACAGTTCAAAGCCACCAGCTGTTCCTGGGTGAACGAGGACGCTGTCTGCTCCAGGCCAGATTCACTGCCTCGGGAACGCCACGTAGGGGCACCAGGAGTCAGACTGGACCCGATGGCAGCGGGTTGGCTTCAGTTGGACCATCACAGCCCAGGGACTAGGGGAGTGCTGCCAAGAGTAAACGTGCTCGGCTGCTAACTGAGAAGTTGGCGGATTGAGTCCATCCAGAAGACAAGCCTGGGGATCTACTGCCAAAGAGTTAGCCAGCGAAGGCCCTCTGGAGCGCACAGGCCTGATCCCATTGTTCACGGGGCCGCCAGGAGCTGTCAACCACCATCCCAGCCAGGCCTCTGGGTCACCTGGCCATGCCCTGTGCTTGCTCAGAACCCTCCAGGAGCCGAGAACCAAATCCGATCCCCGATTCAAAGCCCCATGCTGACTGCCAGCAGAGGGGGTCAAGAGCCTGCCTCAGAGAGAACCGGTCTTGGTTAGAATCCTGCCTCTTTTGCTCGCTCATCCATAGGGAAAAAAACAACACTTTCTTGAGCACCAACTTTGGAGCACAGAGGCGAAGTGGGCTATGTGTTGGGCTACTAACCAGTAAGTAGGTCAGCAGTTTGGACCCGTCTGCTTCCATAAACATCACAGTCTCCAAAACCCTCGGGAGCAGTTCTGCTTTGTCTCACAGGATCACTGTAAGTCGGAAAAGACTCTACGGCAGTTTGTTGCTTTTTTTCTGGTTCTGTGGCCCGGGCACTGCTCTCGGCATCCGGGACATCCGTGAACAGATGAGACAAAGATCCCTGCCCTGGTGGGGTTTCCTTTCTAACAGAGGGAAATTAACAATACACA